CAAAATATCAACATTTTTATTAAGTGTAAATTTTGGTCAACTTTGAAGTGACCTTGATACCACGCCCTCTGCACCGGGGTAATTCCACGTGCAAATTTTAATTTTCAACATATCCTGATCCTTGTATGTAAGTTTGGTGAAAATCTGCCTTGTGGTTCTGGAGAGTGATTTTTTAGCAACCAGTACTTTTGGTTTTGTTTTCCTGATTATCTCCCCTTGTTCAAAGGTCCCAACCCTTATTTTAGTATAAATGATAGCCCTTGCGCCAAGAATACCCTGTGACAAATTTGGTACTGATTGGCCAAGGGGTTCTTGAGTTATGGCCCATATTCTAAAGAGTTTACGCACACCACACACCGCACAATTGGCCATAGCATTAGCTCTTTAATTGAGCCTTTGGCTCAGAAGAGCTAACAAAAAATCACAACTCATTTAATAACAAAAATCGTTTTCTCACATAAATTTGTAAATGTTTGAAACCAGTAATCGGAAAACAAGCGACTGGGATACTAAAACTTCCCTCTTGAAAGAATTATGTTAACAAGCTTAACAACCTAAATATGTCCTCTTTTAAAAAGTTAGATTTCTAGTGACAAGATTTCAGTCTATTACACTTTTCATATCTTTAGAGTTCTTGCATGAGCATGCTAGATTGTTTCACTACTTTTACACAATTTAGTTTTTGTGGTTATAAGCAGTAGAGCTTGGGTGTGGCATATGAAAATTGATTTTTTTTTTTTAAATTATATTAGTATAAGATTGCAGATATTATTTTTTGAAAGGTATATGTCACCATTAAAATAAACAAAAAATGCATACTGTATATCAACAGTCTTTAAACATGTTAAACATCTAAACAAAAATTATTTGTTTTGCTTTCTTACGACGGTAGATAAACAAAATATCCTAATATCCTGATCAAAAACCATAATGAAAAGGAAGTCCTGGCAAAGAAATCAATATTCTAAACTTAAAATGCAAACAAATAATAATTAACTCAAACGTAAGTCTCATATATATCATTTAAACAGTTATATAATGAATTTGTGTCCTGTGATAGAATCCTAATATTATGTCCAAATTACCAATAACACTTTGAGAAAATACTTACTTTTTATAAATTAGGGCAAAGGTGATATTCGCTATTTTTCAATGTGACACGTCATATGCAGATAGGAACAACTTCACAACTGATAAGAAAAACTTTTTTTTTAAATCTAGAGTACATGCAAATCTTCTATTGATATAAGACGTTTATACTCTCTATAATATTATGATTGTGAAAGTAAAAAAAAACAACATATTTTTCTTCTTTGCGATATTCTACATAAAATAAATTCTTTATTGCAGTATTCCAAAGGAAAAGTGCACAGTGTAGCAGTATTAATGTTATGGGACTTTACAACAATACACAAAGACGAAAGCGTAGTCATGGACATCAGTCTTACAATAAAGCTTTCATAAATTATGTCTCCTTTACCTTACGTAAATAAGTAGTAAATCAAATCAAACTTCACTCTGTCTCTTTGAAAGTTTTAAAAAGTCTACTTGAAAATCTATATATTTTGATTTTTTAGACACTTAAATACAGGCTCAGACATGCGATAGCAGATAATACAAATCTTAAGCTTTTTGAACTGACATGCTTCAGGGATGAAAATACTTATTTGTTCCTTAAACTTTAATATACAATAAAAGTATTTGACGCAGATAATTAAAGTGAAAATCTTAATCTCAAAAGAATCCAGTCTTGTATTCAAACTCATTTCAATTTGAAGTGAAAACCTTGTTTTTCTTACAAATATGCGTCAAGTATTGTTTCGAAACTTCTTTTATTACAAAAAACCTCTACAATGCTTAGAAAGCAAACAATGGAAAAGGAATATGAAAATAACGAATAAATATCAAACCCACTGAAACAATTAATATCAGGAGCATAGCAAACACAGGCCTTTAAAACATCAAGGAAAGGATCAGATGACTTGAAGGGGAAAAAATTCCCTGCCGAACGGTAACACCCACCGTGCTCTCCTTATCATGTTCGGGAAACTGGGGGAAAATTAGTTGACAGTTTGGTGTGTAAATAATGGTTTAGCAATTAGTATAAATAATGTCAGTCAGCATTTGACTCATGATGATTGTATATTCTGACATTTCTGTCATTGTATTGTGTCAAAGAATTTGCGTAATGCTGACATGAAAACGAAGCTGTTAATATCTTAGTTCCAATTTGTTTGTCAACAGCTCGTTTTATTTTAAAAATTATGCGTATGTGTACGTAGAGCATGCTCTTGCCTGTGGACACAACTTTGAGACATAAACTCTATATGCAAGTGATATAGTTTATTGCCACAGAAATAAACATTATGTTTATCATAAAGTTTTCTTGTACATGTTGTAGTAACCATTAATAGCCTTTCCAATAAGATATCTAAATTTAAAACAGATATGCATCAGATTCTAGGGCATGGATATATTGAATCAAGGAAATGATATGTATAAAAATTTTGTCGAAATAATAGTATTTGAATATTTATTCAACGGCTCTGTCTGAGACATAGGTTATTCTTTTCATGAAAAGGTTTTTTTCAATAATTTTGCTTTGCATTTATACAAATATATTAAAGAACAGCCAATAATGGGGCGCATTTGGTACTCATGGTAATACCAACAGCTTTTTTAAAGATCGATCACTTTTCATTATCTTCATCTTTTTCAATGTTGAAAGATGTTGTCAAGAAGAGGCCCATGAGCCACATCGCTCACCTGGGCATTTCTGCTTGAAAAAGGCACACATTAATGAAGTATTGCATAGTGTGGCTTGAATTTTAAACTGTTTGAAAATACTTCCATGTCAATTACAATAGCTTTACGGTTTTCTAATATTATATTCCTTTGTCAGCAGTCTCGTTTAAAGTCTTCATTTCGTAAGTGCTATGGTCGATACAATGACCTTGTCAGCAAATACAGTTTATCATTGAGTCAAATGCTGACTGACGTTTTTCATACCAATTTTTAGTCCATAATTTATACACCGAATTGACGACGGATTTTTCCGTTATTTCCTGATCACGACAAGGAGCACACGGCTGGTAAGACCGATCGGCAGAGGAGGCTCACTCCTCCATGGCACCTGATCCCACCTCTGATGTTTCGGGGGTCCGTGTTTGCTCTGCTCTTATTTTGTATTGTTTTATGGACTTTGAGATTGAGCGCTGTTCGTTATCTCCACATCCTTCTTTGTAAATATTTAATCCATATTGTGGCGCCTCCTTACCCCTGTCATAATTTGAACATAATCGATTCTAAACTACCTGAGGAAAATTCCATTTAAATATGACTAATCATGGCTTTGCTGTTCTCCAAAAGGAAAATGTCCTATGATGTTTTGTTGTAGCCCTCCTTACCCCCGGGTGGTCATATTTTGAACAAACTTGATTCTACACAACTTGAATATGCTTCCATAAAAGTTTTATCTTTTCTGGCCCAGATGCTCTTGAGAAGATTTAAATTATTCCCCCCCCCCCCCTTATCTATAGTTCATGTAATTTGTTCCATTTTTTTCAGTAGCTGCTAGGTTGTCATAAAGCCTGTATGCTACAATTTGTTGCAATAAATGGTTATCCTTGATCACCTGCAAATATATGCTGCTAAAACATTCTGATTGTACATACAAGTACTCCAACGTTGATATTAAAAAGTAGTTTTAGATTATAATCGACAATACCCATGTTTATGTCGTTTTTGTCATCCAGCACTCTGCTGAAACTCACATAACTACTAAACTGACACTATATTTTTGGATGGATTTGTTTTTTGTAAACTGTAAAGTGGAGTATCAACGAAGCACCATGAATTACACATAACAGTATTTATTATCATTATAAAATTAATTCGATACATCCATTTTCACAAATTCTATATTTGCTGTTATATATTCTTGTAATATAACCAACTGTTGGGTCATATTTTGGCTGGTATGCATCATACAAATTGTAAGGCCTTTACTTTTATACTGAATTCATCTACGGAATGTTTTGTCTCCTAATTTTAAAAACATGGATAACGGAGGATAAGAGCAGTCAACGGGGAATGTTTCTAATCAGGCACCTGAATCAACCTCTATTTCCGGGTATGTGTTTTATGCTGTTTATAAACATGTATAGTTTAAGAGTTTTTTTTATATCTATGAAGAAGGATATGGAGCTAACGATTAGTATTCAATCTCAAAATCTATCACTATCTTCATTTCAAATGAAAAACATGCAAAGATATACATAGCATGTATTATGAATTACAGCTGGAAGAAGATGGGCGAACAAGATGTACAAAATGCCTACAGTGCAGCAAACATGAGGAAAAGTAAAATATCAAATATGTCAAAATTTTCTGGATATTTTATCCAACATTAAAGTATACTAAGTACTTTAATTTAAATCTCCAATTTCAAAAATCTCACAAAACTTTGAAATATTATTTTGCCTAATGAAATAGCATACACAAACTACAGAGGACAAAAAGGCTCATTTTCTCATACTATTACACATTTTTTAGATACAAGTGGCTCTTCACTCAATTTTTTTTTAAGTTTATCCACAAAGTGTGCCTAAAAATATACATTTTTTTTGGTAAACCAAAACAGAAAGCAGACCCACTATATGTCAAAAACACACTTAATAACACAACATGCATCATTTCAAGAAATACTTGAAGTCCATTTAGTCAAAGATTATATCATAAACATGATTTAAATGCCATTATTCTTCAGAATTTCATCAATTTCAATAAATGAAAACTTTACCTTGTATAAATCTATTTGAAAAATTTATATTTAAGCCTGTGTATAAAACATGTTCATAACATGACCAAAATTTCATTGTTTTATATTCATTGACATAAATAACAATTTTTTTGAGTATTGACACTCACTCCATAAAGAGAAGACGAAGAACAGATCTAATCTGCTTCATAAGTGATTGAGGTATTCAGACCCTTTTATACCATTAATAGGGATTTTTAAGAAGCATTTCTATCATACCCAAATTGATAAAAATCAGTCACAAACGCAAATATAAGTAATAAGGTATAATCGTAAAAACATTTGTCAAGATGAAATATGGGTTGGTACCTAGTCGAATCTACCATAAAGACCTTGTTTAAAGGGATTTGATATTACAAGTAAACTTTAATACTTCCTGATAAAAGTTTTATAATGATATCTTATTTCTTCACAAGTTTTACATGTGACATAAAGTGGCTTGTACCTTTTATTGTAAATCAATGCACATTGTCAGGAAAAAAGAATTTATCAAATCAGTTGGCAGGTTACAACCTAGATTAAACTATTCAAGGATGACAGTAAGAAAAAATATGTTTTCGATGTTTTATCTGTACACAACACTTTTTCCGGCATTTTAAAATGGTCAATGATAAGTCTTGCAAGACACGTAGACATTTCTGACTTTTAATTTTTATTCTATTAAAAATCTTTCATATTGAAAAGGGAAACTGTCTTATTGATTCTCTTATGGAGAAAAAATTGTACAGGAATGTCCAATTTGTGAAATATTTCCTGTATCAGATTAAGCATTTTATGGTTAATTTCTGGACACAACCATCCCAGAACTTCACCATTTTTTCCTTCAGAATATACAATCATGTATATGTTATCTTCTGTATGGAAATTTTGCATCAAAAATTGATTCATGGAACAAGTGGCACAGAGTAACTCAGACTGTGTTCTATTTGTATGAGGCCACAATTGCTGGACTCACACTCGGACACAGTGTTCTTTCTGTACAATAAGACCATCTGTTTACACACGGTGACAGTGTGCTTTCTATGGTAGGCTGTTGTTTGTTGGACACTTTCATGGTGATGTGTGCTATCTGTGGTAGGCTGCCATTCTCTGGACCCGCACTAGGTCGTGCTGTAATAGGTATAATGTCTTTTTAAGGGCCGGGACATCAGACAGCAGGTCCCTATCAGAGGGACCCGAGGAAAAGTTGGAATCTGCCGCCTCGAGGGCTGAAAAAAGATTATAAAACATGATCTGTATGATCCTAATCAACACAGTGATGAAAACAGGTAAATATTTCTTAATTTATCAGAAACTTTGAGAATTTCAAGATTAAGAAGAAAAGATTTTGCTAAAATTAGCTTGCTTTCAATTTCTTGATATGTTAGATTATGCTCAATATCCTCTCCGAGAAAACCTACTTGTATTTTCTCAATCAAAGTAATATATATATCATAAATTCTTTCAGGTAGAAGATACGATATTGAATTTCTGTCTTCCTAATTTTCAGAATGTTAAAGAAGGCAATTTACAAGATGTATAGAAATGTAAGAACTTTAGTGCTTTATATGGAACTGTGGACCTACCACAGACTTGCTCCTCGATGTGATCCAGTCTCTGCTCGATTTCTGTCTGGACTCGGAGAATGTGCTCCAATAGATTCCTCTCACAGAGTTTGAACGGATCTTCCTTCACCACATCCACAGAGTTCAAAAGGTCACACACATCCTCCACTTTGACCTCTGACCCTACAGACTGATCCAGTGGTAGTTCTACGCTAGATTTGGCTTGGCCTGATTGAGACTGTTCTGAAGGAGTTGTTGTGTGATTTGATTGTTCCATCTGAGTTTTCTTTCCCTGCCCACTCTCTGCTGTGGAGACTTCACCATTACCAGTGTTTGAGCTACTAGCCTTTACTTCGGCCTTGTCAGTGTTTGGTGTAACTATACTCGCTGAATCACTCTCACTGACTGGTTTAGAGCTTTCAGGTTTCTCTTGAGCGTTCTTCTGTTTCTCAGAAGCATCTTCTTCTTTAGACATTAGTCCTTGGTTTGAACTTTTAATGCTTTCATCTGGACCACTATTTTCTGTTTTTGTACCTTCTTTGGACTGTGAAAGGTTCTCAACAGTTTTATTTGTAGCACTCTCAAGTCCTTCCTTTTTGTCAGAAGTTTCCTGCAGATCTGTATTGACTTGCTGCTCTTTGTCTGTATTCACTGTCTCACTACCACAATCACTTTCACTGACCTCTATCTGAGGTTTCTGGGGAGTTCCTGATTCTAATTCAGAGTTCAGGTCCTGGACCTCAGTCTTTTTATTCTGATCTGTAGAGATGTCCAGGCTTATCTCCTCACTCTCACTATCTACATCAGGCTCTATAGGGTCAAACTGGACATTGTCTAGATTCTGTAACCACATCTGTAGCATGGGATCTCTGTGGTCTTTCTTTCTGTATTAAACAAAAGAGGTCAAATGAACACTTTTTACTACCCTTTCAAATGCAGTAAACATGGTAAACTAATACATTCTTTGTCAAATTTAATTTACAAGATGTAACTGGTTTTTTTTTTAGAAAGAATTTTAAAATATATCAAAGTTAATTTGTTTTAACAGTCAATGAATTATGAGATGCACTGAACACTAAGCCACTCTTCCATTGATTCAAAACAACTTGTTTTTTTTTATTGAGAGCGAGGAATACCTGACAGTCTTGAGTTTCTGCTTCAGGCCATGAATCACTGCTGACACATTGTGAAGGTCACCCACAAGGCCATGGGTGGCTTGAACTGTCCTGCAGCAACTCTCATCTTCTTCCTGATTGGGTAAAAATCCAAAGTGGGCCATGTGACCCAGCTTCAGCCAATCCTGGTCATGGACATAAAGCCGGCTGTCTCGGATTCCTAGAGAGTATAATATAGAACTATATCCACTATGTCCATTTAAAAAAGTTAAATCATGCCTTATGATTATATTAGCAAGCGCAGCGAGGCGGCATTGAGGCCAGAGGCCAAAATTACTATTGGAGGTATAAAGTATTTTGGCGAGCGCTAGCAAACATTCGCTCTGCTGAACAGGCCTCAGTGTAGCAAGCTCAATAGACTAACAAATGCGAACAGAGGAAATTCTGGTTGAAATCTGCACATTGTTTCAAGAAATTTTTATGAGTCCACATGAAAAAATTCCAAACTCCCAATAATCCTTTGCGATGCATAACAACATGGTGGCTTATACATGTAGCAACAGCTTTCTTGAAAAAATTACGAACAAAGATTTTATGCAACCTACATACTACATAATAACTATTGATTGCGTCCTAAGACAACTTTATATTTGACGTCATACTTTCATCATTCAAACTGCTCGGGTATTTTCAATTTGTCAGAAGCTTCCGAGAAGTTCGGACTCTTGATCTTAATTTATTTTTATGGTTGTGTTTTCTTCTTATTTTGATTCTTTCATTACTGAACAGAGGATGGGCAGTACAATTTGTAGCCTATTTATAAGTTTTTTATAAATACAAAACTGTGCTCGCTCAAATGGTCGCACCATACTATTTGTATCTAACTTTTTTGTGTAACTGATACAGTGTTAAGACAAGAAACTCCATAAAGGTGAAAAGTATATGTTTCAAAAGGAGGTAGCACAGACACTTGTTTCAAAAACAAAAACAAATAATTGGGTTGAGATTTTCTGCACACTTACCTGGAGGATTTTCACACACGTAACAGATGTACTTTTTGGGAAGTGTACTCTCAGTAATTTCAAAACAGGCTGCATGCTGCCAGCAGAGGCAAACATCACACTGTAAATAGAAACATATTAAGTTATAATATTATCTGCCCAACAGTAACAATGTCTATACTCAAAAGTATTTGTTAGAGCAAGCATATGTATCTAGAAGTTTTTAAACCACAAAGATAACAAAATGAGACACACACCCCTTCCACTCACTTTCATGTGAGCAATAGAGCATAAAGGTAAAGTCCATTTTTTGGAAAACCCTACGAGGGTTGTCCGTAAAGTTCGTGGACAACATTGATAATTACTGACAAAGATTGATAAAATATATGAAACTATTATTTTCATTAAATTCATGTTTTATTTTATCAACATGCAAGTTTACAACAAAAACAAAGCACAAATAGTTATATTCTTATCAGATTAAAGAAGACACACACTCATACCCGGAGCACTAAAATGAGATTTCTTGACGTTCCGCGACGTCAAAAGCATTATATGAGTACATATACCTTTTCTCAATTTAACTCAATAAATTTCTTATGTCGCTTTAACTAGTAATAAATATGTGCACAAAATGTTCAGGTTTCATACGTAAAATAATATCTAACAATGTCTGTCTAATACCCTGCAATCATCCAACCTCTGTTCGCGTAAAAACAATTTTATTTACGGAAATACGGTAAAGTTACGTTACAAAATTCATGTTTTACCAGCACTGCAATCTAAGAATGATGGTCTTCCTTCATGCAAGTCATCCTGTAAACTGTTCCTTCCGTCCGAAAATATTATATGCCACTTAAATACTAATGTACAGCTTCTTTTACTATGTTTCCCCGATTGTTTACAAAATGTATTGGTCTCTGTAGATGTTTATCCGATATCTACGCAGAATTTTATCACAGCTCACTGCTCCACCTATTCCGAAAACGTCCCTTTTTTGAACAAATTCGATCCGACTTCATATGTTCTAACTTTGATTGCTCGGTCATTTTACAACTTTGAATGTTCAAATTTTGCAGGTTTGAAGTGGTAACTTCTATCAACCTGATAATGTAAAAGTCATCCTGATATCCGCAAAACTTTATAAAATACAAATGAAATCTATAAAGTGATAAATAATTTTTTTAAATAAAATTTTGCGGTGCTCCGGGTCTCCATTCTAAGTCTAATTATGAAGCCATAATTGTAATTAAACATTTGAAATTGAATAAGATTTTACTTTTTTTCAATTCACATTTAGTAAAGGATTAGAAATATGCTAATAATAAATATCAATGATGCAAGTTTTATTTGATTCTTAGCTTGTCCACAAACTTTACGGACAACCCTCGTAAACATATTTTTAGCTTGAACATAAAATAGTTTATCACAATGACAGTTTGTTATAACAATTCAGTGACAGTCTCAGAATGGATGCACTGTGGCAGTATGAAATAAAGATTCTGTGAAAGACTCTGATTACAACAGGCTTCCTTGTAAAAATAAATTTTGGTGGTAAACTATTTCTATGAGAAGAAGAACACTGAATGAAATCACATACCCAGGTAAGATTTCTTTAATTTAGTATATTCATATTTCAGTATAATAGTACCTGAATCATGAGTCCGTTTTCTTCGTTAAATCGACAGATACAGTTGACCACTTCATCTTTACTGAGTGTGTCCTCGTATTCTGTTTCCATGGATTCCTCGGCTATCATCACATCCTGACTCATAGAACGGGCTCTCTCTCCAGACTTTAATCCTGTGTAATGTTCAACAAACAGCATGAGTGATGATACTTTTAAATATATATATATATCAATGTTTATGCTCCAAATTCTAAACTACAATGAACTGTATGGGAGCACCCTAAACTAATGTTATGCGTACTTAAATGTATAAATTTCCTTCACCAAAAAACTGAGCTAAATAATTGGCATTTCCAAAATTAGCCCTCCCACTTTTTTTGCAAATATATACATAGTATAGGCATTGAAAACTGGGGTTTACCTTTTTTTTCTTGGTTTATCCCCCCCCACACACTTTCAATTATCCCCCCCCCCCACTTTCAATTTGCTTCCAACGCCTATGTCTTTATGATTACATCATCCAAGCGTCCGACATCTTTCTTTATGTGTCATACTAAATCATGCACGTTGAAATGTTTAATTTCATACCGATGAAAATTAAGTGCTTAATTGGCTCAGGATTACCTTACTTCGTGCCAAAAAGCTAGAAAGCTAAAAATACCTACAGGGTTTTCGATTGAAAGTTGTAGAAAATTGAACATTGGTAAATTCTTTTTTCTTCCCCAGAAAACTTTATAAGTTCGTTTGGACTTATTAGCCATAAATTTTATTAGTACAAATGAAAATGTATTTGTCTGAAACTAACAGACTTACGTTAATGTCGAACCCTGCAGAAGATCTTAATAAAAGGTGCATCTAACACTATCATTGGAAAGAAAAAAAATAGATCACCTTTAAAAGAACTACAGTGATAACTGTCTCATCTGACACCTGTGAAATCTATCACACTGTAATTTCCAACCTAAAATCTCTTTCCCATTTTACCATGTTAACTAATTTTAATATTATATTACACTTTTCAATTTGGCACACTTTCTATTCCGAAACAAAATTTGTCTCCGAGTGCATGTCGGATTAGACAGGTTTCACTGTACATATCATACCTTCAGATAGGAGCTGATTCTCCATATTGAGTGGGTCTGCACCTGCCACTTCGGTGGTGCCCTCGTATGAGGTGCTGGGTCTACAGAGGGAGCCACTGGAGGGGTACCGCTGTCGGGGGGTGACGGAAATGTCCGAGTCTGTAGAACCTGTCAGGGAAGGTCAATATTACTTATATCACATAATGACATGATGCCACTAGTTCATGTGAAACAGTTATACATATTAAAAGATGACTTTACTTATTAAGAGAATTCTCCTAAACCATTTTTAAAATAAAACCCAGATATTTATGCTAGTTTAAATTGAATTATCTAAAAGATGACTTTACTTATTTATGCTAGTTTAAATTGAAGTATCTAAAAGATGACTTTACTTATTTATGCTAGTTTAAATTGAAGTATTAAAAGATGACTTTACTTATTAAGAGAATTCTCCTAAACCATTTTTAAAATGAAACCCAGATATTTATGCTAGTTTAAATTGAAGTATCTATGGTATTCAATAATTAATTCAAGTACAGCTTAATAATCAGAATGAAAGAAGGAAATATCCCCCAAAAAAGAACATTAAATCTGATATACATACAAATACTGGTTGTTTTCCGTCGTTTCCTGGGTGGGTTTTGCGGAGGCTTGCCGTCATTAGAGTGGTAGAACTTGATGTGAGATTCCAGCAGAGTCTCCTTACGGAATCCCTTATTACAGTCCTCAAACGTACACTTAAAATGGTTGTGTTCTGGCTCAATGACGAAGGCTTTTGGTGGAAGAGCAGTCTCAGGAACCAAAATGTAGTTGGCTTTTTAACAAAAAAGAATTTAAATAATTCATCTGATCTGTCTATATGTCAGTCAAAATAAATCAATTTTATCCTGCAACTACCCCTTGCATTGACCTAATACAGGTAACCTAATAAACTATAGCTTAATTCTGTCACTGCCCTAATAAAGCCTCGTGCTTGTATTCCAACATTCTAAAAGCATTGTGACGTCACGCATATTGTAATGTTTGCCATGGCATCATACTTTCAACAGCAGAGATGTTCGTAAATCTGTTGAAAATAGCTAGTTTTGGATGTACAAATGTAAAAAAAATGTTGCAGAATAAACAAAATACATGATAACTGTCTTGAAATATAAGCGATATTTGGGCTCAAGTCGAAAACATAAGAGGGCTCAGCAAGCCTTGCCCTCTATCATGTTTTCTTACCCTCGCCCAAATCTCACTTATATTTCAAGACAGTAACCATGTAATATTTTAAATTCATTGCTGAGTTCAATCAAACTTTGAAAGTTATATGCTGATGTTAAAAAATCCAAAATATTCCTCTTTAACTCGATAAACATTTGTACTAATACTGATTATTTGCTATCACACTTAAACTTTTTCTCAAATACAGATATCTTGAATACCATGGCAAAGTCAACTCTAATCCCAACTACTCTTTTTTATGCATTTTAAACCTCGTTATCTTGAATCCTCAGTCCAATTAAGTTTGAAATAAAAAATTTTGACTGTAATTGTAACATACACACATTATCCTTCTTTATTTTGTTATTCATTCTAATTGGAATACAGTCAAATTAGTAGATTTTTTTTCTCCATCTAATGAAAGAGATAATTACTGTAGATCACTAAATTTTCGCGAGATAGTCATTGACTCTTGATTAGCTAGACTAAATTTTCACGAATTGAGGTAACTGCTCTATATAATCTTAAGGAATACTATTATACGCGAGAAATAAATTTTCGCGAGCACACTGTCTCGCGTAATTACGCGAAAATAAAGTTCTCACGAATAAAAAGTGATTTACAGTAATATTTTACAAGATGACTTGAAACAACCCCTCAATTTTTCATTCAATTAACATACCTCTCTCGTTAGTGGACCTGCTTCGTTTCCGTGAGGAATGAGGCTGGTCCGATTTCTCTCCCTTTTCTGTTGATTTACTTCTCTTTCTTGCTAAACTCTCTCCTGACTGAGTGATCGGAGAAAATGTCTGTTTACGACTTTTTCTGTTCTCTACAATAAATTAATTAATAGATTATGATCAATGAGACTCAAGCTACCTGACCTGGGCAGCATTACATTTTCACACAAAATGATGCAATAGACTGGCAAGTTTCATTGAGGTTTATATCTGATTCATAGTGGTTCTTAATGGTGGGATAGTGGGAGGAAAAAGAATAAAATACCCCTTTATTTGCTTACTTCTATGCTTACTTTTGCCTTTGGATGGGAGAACTGGAGTAGGGATTTCAAGAGATGGTCCAGCTCCTGCTGTATGTGTGCTGTCTGTCTTCATACCTGGAGACTGTTTTGGAGTTGATGGGGAGGATGACACTGCTATAGAGATAAAATGTGATCAGATCACAGAAGCATCTGATTAACTCTTTAAGCATTTACATAGACTGAATTTAAAATTAAAATATTCATTTGTTATTTTAAAATTAAAAATACATGTACATATTCATGAATTATAGCACTGCAGGAAAATGAAGAGAGCTCACTGCTTAGCTCTTCATTTGGACTTTTGTAGAAAAAAAGAGTTCAGAGAGAGTTCTAAATTTTAATATAAAAAGAAATAACTAATTCATGAAATGAATAAATACCAAGAAAAATCTGAATATCACAAACTTATTGAAAGTTATTTGTTAATTTCAAGTATTTTTTACTTTAAAGGTACTATATACATGGTTATTTTCGCCCTGTGTTATTTTCATCCTTTCACACTTCGAAACAATTTTGCCCTGTTTTAAATTCACCTAGTCACTATTCTGTTAATGAAATTATGCTGTTTTTTTTAATTTGCCAGTTTTACATTTGCCCACCTATGGGCGTGTATACAGTACTTAAAATTGTACAAATTAATTGAATTCAAATACACAATCTTACCAGACAGAGTGCTAGCTGGAGAAGGAGGCATGGAGGAGAGAGGGGTGGCCATAGGTGTACTGGGGGCAGACATCAACCCCGGGGCTGGAGTACTGGGGGCTGAGGCTGGAACAGGTACCCCAGCAGGTGCTTCAGGTGAGCCTGGGGCAGGTAGAGGAGTTCCTGTGGGTGGGGTTCCCTCTGAGGTGGGGTCTGATACACTTTGTGGAGCCGGCAGATTGGGAGTAGGCTGGGGGACTGGGGTGGTGTCCGTAGAGGTTTTTGTAACTGAAGAGTCTTCAGAATCTGTGGTAGGTGGAACAGATGCATCTGCCTAAAAAAGAAATATTACATCTATAAATTAAGGATAAAATCTTCATTTTGATTGTAAAGTAGTTTATGAAAAGAATCTTTGCGATTAGACTCTTGACATTACCTGTTCTACAGAAGGTGTAACACTAGTCTCTTCTGATGGCGGCTGTTCCATTAAGCCCCCTGTATCCTCCGGTTGTTCCACTGCACTCCCCGTGCTGTCCATCGTTTCATCAGTCGTCAAATCTTTACTGGAACAGCTCCCTGTTTTAGACCTCTCTGAGGACGTTGATCGATCTCGCTTCTTAAACAGAGATCCTGCAATGATTAACTTCTTCTCCCCTTTCCTCTGTCTGCGTTCTTTACTTGGTCGCCGTTTGCCGTCATCACTCGCAGTACTTCTCGTCCTCTCGGTTACCTTCCTTGTTGTCTCCACATCTCTGGGGACTTTATCTACGATATAAATCATGTAATCATCAGTAAATTGGACATTTTCTTCTTTTAACAATAAATCCTTTTCTGCTTAAAAAAGAAGGCAGTGTTACTACTGTATACAAGTTATTTTTGCACCACTTTATTTTCGCCCTTTCACAATTTTGTTTAAGAAATCAATATACAATTATTGCTGGTTTTTGAGGTCAATATAATGATTTAGCCACCTGAGGAGTACAATATTGACCGAGCCCGAAGGGCGAGGTGAATATTGTACTTCGAAGATGGCTAAATCATTGTATTGACCGAAAAAAACAGCAATAATTGTTTTATTATATGATTCATGGACAAAATGATACAGTTCAGTACTTGTTTGCATTTTATTAAGTCCTAGCCAAACACAAGAGAGAAGCAGAATTAAAATGTGAATAAACCTTACCAGTTGTATCAATTTGAAATGTTTTTTTTTAAATCAATTTTAGTTGCCATGAAAGAAATATATAATGTCAGTTTTTTCATAGCATAGATTTTGAATGGAAGGAGTATTATCAGGGAAAACTGACTGCCAAAAAGTAAAAAAAAATTGTTGTTCAGTAAAAGTGTTGGAGGGGGGGGGGGGGGGGTCCCTGCATCCCCTCTTACCACCCTCACCTAAAATATATATTCGCTTATGTTTTGTTCACATGAAAATAAAAATCCTAGTCGTTTAAATAGCTTTCTAAAATAATTTGTATCAATTTGGAATTTCCCAATCTATTTTTAGATCAATGTTGAGGAAATAAATCCTTGTATTGACCTGGAACGTCACGTGCAGGTCAATACAACGTAATATTTTTCTAACATAGCTGGATCTCAGCCAATCAGAGAGATGGAAATTACTCGATCATATAATACTATACAATTATTGCTGTTTTTGAGGTCAATACAATGATTTAGCCACCTGAGGAGTACAATATTCACCGAGCCCGAAGGGCGAGGTGAATATTGTACTTCGAAGATGGCTAAATTCGAAGATGTATTGACCGAAAAAACAGCAATAATTGTTTTATTATATGATTAACTGATAAGATACAGCTCATTACTTGTTTGCATTTAATTTAGTCCTAGCCGAATACAAGAGAGAAGCAGAATAAATATGTAAATAAACCTTACCATTCGTATCAACTTGATTTTTTTTTTTTATCTATTTCAGTTTCCATGAAAGAATACATACATGTTATGTTAGTCTTTTTTATAGAATATATTTTGAAATGAATGAGTATAATGAGGGTAAACTGACAGCCGAAAAAAAGTAAAAATTGTTGTTCAATAAAAGTGTTGGAGGGGAGTCTCTGCATCCCCTTTAAATAACCACCCTCACCCAAAATATATATTCGCTTATGTTTGTTCACAGTTCACATGCAAAAAAAAAAAAAAAAAAAAAAAATCATAGTTGTGTACATAGCTTTCCAACACAATTTATATCAATTTGGAATTTCCCGATCTATTTTTAGATCAATGTAGGGAAATAAATCCTGGTATTCACCTGGAACGTCACGTGCAGGTCAATACAACGTAATATTTTTCTAACATAGTTGGATCTCAGCCAATCAGAGAGATGGAAATTATTCGATCATATAATAAACTGTATTATTTGAATTCGCCCCTTTTTAAATTCACTAGACTGAGGTTAGAGTGAAAGGGGAGAAAATAAAACAAGGGCAAAAATTACCCTGTATACAGTATGTTTAGGCACCTTCTACAGGCAAGAATAACTGTCTCACACATGTATGTGTTTAATATGTAGTACACATGTATGTGTTTAATATGTAGTATCTCTTTTCTGTCCCAAACATGTTCTGTACCTGTGTATTGACCTGTACAGATTTTTTTACCTACCCAAGCTGCCTTCTCTTTACTGCCCCCTACATTGTTCTGTACCCGTGTATTGACCTGTTCAGATTTTTTTTACCTACCCAAGCTGCCTTCCCTCCTTGAGTATATAGATGAACTTCTCCTCTTCTTGGGTAGAGTGGCTGTAAAAAACAAACATCACAATATTGTTTAAGGTATAAATATGTAAGAGGAAAACTCTCTTGTTTTGGCTGAATAGATAAAAATATGTATGACCTTAAAATTACCAATAAATATACCGAGTAAACAAAATAAACAAAAACGGAGAGAATTAATTGACTCAAATACCCTAAAATCTTGAAAATAAGCCGCGGCTTATTTTAAGTTTTGGTAAGAAAGTTGGGGCTTATTTTCAAAACCGGCTTATTTTCAAATTCCGGCTTATTATCAATGCAAAAAACTGGTAAGAGAAGAGATCACAATTCCGGTTTATTTTCAATACAATCATTAAATAAAGTGTAATCGATAGAGTAGGAACTACTTGTTCGATGTAAAATTAAAACATCGTGAATATAATAGAATAAAATAATTACAATAATCATGAAAATACTTTGTTCAGTATCTTGCGTGTAGAAAAAAATACTGTAAAATTGGAAAGTTTGACAAGGAGGAAACATGAACGAATGACTTTAGCTGGTCAAAGTTTTCTCTCGTCATTTTTTTTTTGTTCATTGGCATCCCCCCAGGTACGTTTTCATTAGGTCTAAGTAGTGTGATCGTCTACTTTATATTTTGAGAATGTCGATCCCGAAAAGATAAATTTCATTGTTTACAGCTTATAAATTTACATGAAATACAATCTTGTTTTAAAAAAGTAAAATATAAGATATCCGCTTGTAATTGAATCATTTGATAAATTAGTCAAACAAACACATATTTAAACAACTCAATTCTACGGTACATTGAAATTTAATTACTACCAAGCCCTGTCGATCAGCAGGTTTCTTGCCTCGGGCAGTGTTACCTGACAGTTAAATGCTTTACAAACAAAAACTTTCATTTTATCCGTTAAATTTTTAATTATAACAATTTTAAACACACTGTTAGCTTGTACAAGTCTGGATGAGATAATTATTTTTCTGACAATTTTATGAAAAAAAATTCTCCATATGTTAGCTGGTTCTGCAGTGATTTTTTTTTTGCCGTCGAAGTTTTCAATCTTCAAATTTTTAATACGAGGCAATCCTCAAACGTTTAACATCTTTCCTAAATGGCATTTTCATGACCGGCTTATTTTCAAAACTGGCTTATTTTCGAGTAATTTTTAATGCAAGAAATAGGTGGCTTATTTTCAAAACCGGCTTATTATTAAATCCGTCTTATTTTCAAGATTTTAGGGTATTAGGACATGTAAGGTTACAAACATTTTTTTTATATGGATCAACAACACATTTTATACAAGTTACGTAGAATCTCTCACCCATTTCTTCCTCCATCGATCTTTTCCTCTCATCTTTGGGTAAAACATGTACAATCTCTATTTTCTACAAAAATAAAGCAGACTTTGTTTGAAAATAGCTCTGAGATTATGGTAAAAAGATTAAACAACTAAAAAACATAATACATGACTTTCTGTTTATTGCATTTTCTTTTAAAATTTGCTTTGACTTTGTTCTTTTGTAAGACAGTCATAGGTAGCATTGTGATATCATAGTTTAGCAGTTGAGGCTATTTTAAATAAAGTTTGTTTGCTCCCTCCTCATTCAGTGTAAAAATATTGAATTGAAGCTGGGCCCTTCATTTCAACAATTTAAACTCCCCTTCATCCAAGGATGCTTTGTATCAATGTTGTTTAAAATTAGCCCAAAAGTCTTGAGAAGAGGTTGAAAATGTAAAAAGTTTACAGATGAACGGGTAGACAAAAGATGATCACAGAAGCTCACTTGAGAAACATGCAGTCCCTTTGATTACCGGGTATATTTGCTCACTAGTTCTTTGTAATTTGACCCTGTTCCTTGTTATTAATCTATACCTGCTGTTGTAACTCTTTAGGCATTGCTTTGATGTTGATTCCCTGAACTGTCTTCTTAAAGCCGTCATAAAACAGAATATCATAAGATCCTGTGTTAAGAAAAATGCAATTGTCATTAAAATACAGCATATCATAAAATCCTGCAACAAAACCTGGGGAAATGTTATTAAATAGCTTTAACAAGAAGGACAGAGAAGGGATTATAATTTTAAAAAAATATAAGACTTGTATAATTTTCCAAGCATTTTTTAACTCTTAAAATAAATGTATTAATTTTTAAAAATAATAATTATATTATTACCATCAGCAAGAACAGCTGTGACTTTCCCAGGATACATTTTACAATCTGTCCACTTGGCATAAACATGGTCCCCCAGTTTATATTCCTGTTTACAGAAAAATCAACTCATTATAGCACAGAGGCAAGATTTCTTGGATATGCATGACATACACAATCATGTAATACATGTACCAACATCACAATCATTTGACAGGAAAAAATATTTATTTATAAAAATTTAAGAAGATCTTAATGATCTTCTTTTTGATTTGGAAAGAAAATTAAATTTGTGAATGTCTTGTTTTAAAGGTTAACACAGATTGCTTGGCCATTTTCCACAATGTATGTCTCATTTTTGGGATTAAATTCCACTTATTTTAGGTAAATACTTACGGATTGTTTGGCCTTTCCTTTCCGTGATGAGTGTCTCGTTTTTGGCCTGAGTTTCTCGGAGTCCATTTCTATCCACTCATCATATCTTTGATTCCAGCCGTCGAAGTGAATCATCACCATCTTCTCCTCTTCATCAATCTCCACAATCTTAGCTGAGTACCTAAATAACACACAGTCCAGCTCATTATGTAAATCCAGACAATCTTAATTATGTATCATAAAATTACAGCACCAACTTGATGGAAGAATAGTGAATATTCATGTACATAAATTAAAAATAATAATCAATCAACAAATTTCACAAATTTAATTAATATCTGGATAATGATCTAAACCATTTGGAGCTGAAGTCCATGGCCTCGAGTCTCTCTCCCTTCCTCAAGTTGATTCCTGGACGGACGGGGAACTTCTTACTGACCGCAGGGGGTGTCTGTGTCGTTGAGGAGGCGCTGGAGCACGTACTGACGTCATCTGCGTCCAGTCGGCTCCGACCTGCGGAATCCGAGGTCAGCGGCAGAGACGAACCCTTCTCAAGCTTATCTGTCAAGGATAAAAAGAAAATTCCTACAGTAGTTGTGAAATCTAGATATGTAAGAAAATAACTTATTATTTTGGCTCTTGGACTGGCTAACAAAGAATTAAGATGACATTATCATTAATTCATTATACCTGTCATGTCTACATGGCTGCTGGACTCTGTGTTCTGTTCCAGTTCCTCTGTTGTGTTGTTTCCAGCCTCTATCCCTCTGGAGGTACCGACCTGTGCATCGGTTCTACTCTACAATCAATGGAAATAAATCTTAAAAAAACTTATTTCATCCAATGGAAATTAATCCCATATCTAATAATCTGCAGAATAAACAGGTCTTGTAGATCTATTTTCATAATATTCATTTTTTCTACATTTGAATGTAACATTTATTCTTTATTTTCTTCATTAGGATGAAGTTAAGATTTCTGTGTGAATCTTTGTGGTTTAGTATGCATAGCTATGATGTAGATACTAATACTATATTTATTAAAAAATTTTGAATAAAAGATTTACAAAGTGACAGTTGCAATTATTCTTCATTTTATTCCAAGATTATGGTTTTCGAGCGACGATTTTATCATAATTTCACTGCATATTTTATTCTTATAAATAAAGCCGTTGCATACAAAATAAACAAAATAAAAGCAAATTCTTAGCTTTCCTCCTATTTTACTTATTGAAAATTGACACTAATGTGCCTCCATAGTTAAATCAGTCCTTTGACCAAGTTCGGAAAAGATTGTCATTTTTAATTGGTTTAGATCAACAGTCAGGGGCATAGTGCACAAAAGTTATTTTCAAAAGTAACTTGAATTAGTTACTTTTTTGTCACAATGTGTTACCTCTCTTTGATATGACCTACTTTTTCCCAGTATTAGTTATCCTTCCAAAATAGCTTCAATAAATGAATATCTTGTCTACATTATTTTGTGTCATTCCTCCCTAACTTATTTAAGTTATTATTAAAAACAAATTTTGTGTGTAAAATAACTGATTTAAGTTATTTTTCTGATAACTTGTTGACTTGTTAACTCAGTTGCCAGGATGACAGAAATATGAAGTGATAAACAAATGATAGGTGCAGCTACGCCCGACATGGCGGGAATTTTTCTTTTTATGCACCGGTAAAAACACAGAAACGTTACACTTGTTTACATAGGTAATGATTTTGTCAAATATTTGAACGACACTATGCAAAAAATTTCGTGTTGAAATTCTGATTTTTTTGCTCACAGTACAGATAAATATCTATATTTTATCAGGTCCGACACAATCTCTTGATTAAGCTATATAGCTTTAAAAAGCTATATTAAAGCTATATAGCTTTATTAAGCTATTCAAAATAGCTTGATAAAGCTTTTTATATGCAATTTTTCACACAAAAAAAACATTTTCTGCATGAAATAAACAAAAAGTCGCAAGTATTTGACTATTCATATATGTATGAACTATAAACTATAAAAAATACAACCCAAATCATAGAAAGTTCCAACATCGTTGCTGTTGAATACTTTTAAGCAAAATATGAATTTCCATTGTTTGTATAACTGTCCACTACTTTGCCTGCGGTGAGGCGTGGGTAAGTATGATTGCTTTTCATTGTGCTGAACTGTAACCAATCAATTATCTTGTTGGCCATAATTGACCTCCTTTATAATTTCATTCAAGAAATAACTGTGTGGTCACTCATCAATAGCCCCAATTTTTTTTAATTTTTGAGTACAAAGTCTATCAAGGAGACGCAATTTGGTGAGTGATTTTTACATGCATTGTATTCAGAAGAGTTCAAAGTTTAATATTTCCACTGCACCAAGGTGCAACTTTTTGCACATGTTGAAAAAATAACACATTTGAGAAAAAAGTCTGATAAAATAGCTTAATCAAGCTATTCTGAATAGCTTAATAAAGCTTTATAGCTTAATCAAGAGATTGTGCCGAACCTGTTTATTTCCCGTTAGTTAAAATTATGAACCATTTCACGCCATTCCCAGGAACTGAATAAAACGATCCCCCCCCCCCCATTTGGTAGGTATATAAAGACGCCAATAGAGGCGATTGACCACCAAACGGGGGTTAAATGACCATTAGGCGGTGTGTGCCCAACCTTAATCAACAGGTTGGGACCAATCGCCAAAATGGGATATAATAGTCCGTTTGGGATATAATATTACAAATGGGCTATAAATTTGCAGTGCAAAAATTGAAAAATTTTATATTGGTAATAAATATCATAAATCCGCATCAAAACACTTAAAAATGAATAACTTTTGGTAAGCAGGTTTTTCTGCAACCCTACATTTTTTAAGATTGATCCCCAAGAAGTTAAGGAACTTCCAAGGGATCAATCTCCTAAACAATGGGCATACAGGAAAACTTGCCAACCAAAAGTTATTCCTTTTTAACAGTTTAAGTGTCATGATAAGGATTTATGATATTTATAGCCAAAATAAAAAATTTCAATTTTTGCACTGTAAATATATAGCCCATTTGGGATATTATATCCCAAATGGACTATTATATCCCATTTGGGTGATTGGTCCCAACCTGATCAAAACATATAGGTATTGAAACATGCGAAATGGGGTTCACATGATTAGGATGCATCAAATAAAGATGGGACTCAACCTCTAGTCCCCGGACTCAAGCTAGCAAAATTCTAGTGAGAATTCTGGTTTATCCGATAGCATAATCTCTGTTGAGATTCTGCTGGGCTAGATATTTGGACTGACGCCCGCATAATCTCTGGACAGCCCTATATAATTCATGTCTGGAGATCAAGTCCCAACTTCGGCCGACTATAGCAAGAATAATTCACCTAAGCCACACAGCTGCTCACTTCAATTAAGTAATTTGGTTGTTTATTTCACCCTCTATCACTTTTTTTTCTACATTGCTTACCTTTTAGGCATGTAAATCCCAAAATAAAAATATTCACTGAAATTTCAGTTTTTAAATATGGCTCCTGTAACGAAATTGTTTACCTCCTCAAATAAAAGAGTTCTTATAGTCTGTTTTTACCCTAATTGATGTTCAATAGCCACAGAAGACATTGGTTCAGATTCACCAAGGGTAAAAACAGACTATAAGAACTCTTTTATTTGAGGAGGTAAACAATTTCGTGACAGGAGCCATATTTAAAAACTGAAATTTCAGTGAATATTTTTATGTTGGGATTTACATGCCTAAAAGGTAAGCAATGTAGAAATAAAAGTGATAGAGGGTCAAATAAACAACCAAATGACTTAACTGAAGCGAGCAGCTGTGTGGCTTAGGTGAATTATTCTTGCTATAGTCGGCCGAAGTTGGGACTTGATCTCCAGACATGAATTACATAGGGCTGTCCAGAGATTATGCGGGCGTCAGTCCAAATATCTAGCCCAGCAGAATCTCAACAGAGATTACCGATAGCATAATTTGCAAAACCATGGTTTAGAATTCAGAATTTAAAATATTTTAAAACTGCCGTTCTTAATAAAGAACATGGTGGATGGAGAGATTGCTAAGAGTTTCAATAATCTGATACATCAAAAATTAAATCTGACAAAATACAAAGAAATAAAGACTAAAAGTTAAATCTCGCAAAATTCGATTTACCTTTGACGCCATTTTTAAACCAATCAAATTAGCTCATTCGTAAAATAGTCGAGTCAAAAATCTACCAAGTCGTGCATAAGAAAGTCGCCCAACACTAAGTATTCAAATCAGGGGAAAACTGTACATAACTATCAAACTCTTTTATACTAGTGTGATATTTTAAAGGTTTAATCAATTAAACATGAGTCAATTATTTCTTTTTAATTCATAAAATGATAATAACAAGTTGAAAGCACTGGGTATGAATATGATGATAGAACGGGGAAGTTGGGTCTTTTTAAAACTTAAAAAAAAAAAAAAAAAAAAAAAACTAATTTACGTCCTTTTGATTAAGTCTAGAAATAGAGTGTAACTAATTATTTATTTATTTATTTTATCTATTTTTATATTTATTTATTTATTATTTATTTATTTATTTATTTTTTTTTTTTTTTTTATGTATTTATTTTAATTTATTTTATTTTATTTATTTATTTAATTATTAATTGATCAATTCATTTATTTATGTTTTTATTTATTTATTTATTTGATAAGAATCATTAAATGTAGTAAGTGAAGGTAAGGAAGGTGATCAGTCTAAAAAAAAAAAATGCAATACAAAACTGTGAAGATTGCTTAAACAGAACCCCAGGAAATACCATAGTTGGGATCGTGTCCAGGAAGAGTTAAGGATCTCTTATTGACTGACCAAATCCATCATGAGCCCTAGGTATCAGTCAAATTTGATATAAGAACAAAGTCCTGTCATCTAGTTTAAATACGTCTTTAAAATTACGAACCATTGATAGGGTATTTTTGCTAACAGGTCAATATATCGACCACAGAATTTACAAAACGCTGTCTCTTAATGAGGTAGTTAAAATACCTGGAACATCAACTTACCTGTCACTAGCCCGCCTCGGTTTAAACATTTATCATTATGCAGCATGCATTTGAATATTTCCCCTCAGCAGACCCGCTCTTGATCGAGGCTTCCCCCTGCATAGAAGAATTCTCCCAAGAGCGGGAGAACTACCAGGGAATTTCACTCTACAGCCACGATTTCCTGGATTTTTAAACTTAGTTCATTTTTATTGCTCGTAGAGCAATACCTGGCTTTTGTTAGGTTGTTCTACCGGAAATGTTGCTTCCTCAATACCAAATAAAATTTACGATTAAGAATAATACGTTTGGCTTATCACATTTGAGGTGATACAAACGTTAAATTAAGCATTGAAAGGTATATGAAATTCTTAAAAAACAAAAAAAAAAAAAACAAACAAAAAAAAAACAAAACTATTTTTCATAATACGGTATACTATCTCGTTTAAAGTTATCATTTCGTTTTCGATACAATGACCTTGTTAGCAAATACAGTTTATTTTCAAAAACATTTTTTATACCAATTTTTTTATATTTACACACTGAATTGATTAATGGAGATCATGACAAGGGGCACAGTGCTCAACTGCAAAGAAAATAGAAGGGTATCAAGTAATGATAACTGCAAAGAAAATAGAGAAACGTTCACCTAATAATCAACTGTAAAGAAAATAGAAGAGTATCAAGAAATAACAACTGCAAAGAAAATAGAAAACATTCAACTAATAATCAACTGTAAAGAAAATAAAAGAGTATCAAAAATGATCAACAGCAAAGAAAATAAAAGAGTATTCAACTAATTGTAAACTGCAAAGAAAATAGAGCAGTATTTAACAAATGGTCAACTGCAAAAAATAGAGAAGTATTCAACTTATTTTTAACTGTAAAGAAAATAGAGAAACATTCAGGCAATTAATAGTCAACTGCAAGGAAAATAGATGAGTATTCAACTAATACACAGTAATTGTTAACTGCAAATTAAATAGAGGAGTAATCAAGTATAACAGTCAACTGTCTGCAATGAAAATGGAACAGTTTTCATCAAATGGTCAACTGAAAAGAAAATAGAGGAGTATTCAACTAACAGTCAACTGTAAAAAAAAAATGGAGGAGTATTCAACTAATGGTCAACTGTAAAAAATAGAGAAGTACATGTATTCAACTAACATTTAGCTATAAAAACAAAAAATAGAGCAGTATTTAACAAATGGTCAACTGCAAAAAAATAGAGTATTCAACTTATATTCAACTGTACAGATCTGTAAAGAAAATTGAGAAACATTCAGGTAACTAATGGTCAACTGCAAAGAAAATAGAGGAGTATTCAAATAATAATTGTTAAACGCAAAGTAAACAGAGGAGTAATCAAATATAATAGTCAACTGTCTGCAAAGAAAATGGAACAGTTTTCATCAAATGGTCAATTTAACTGAAAAGAAAATAGAGGAGTATTTAACTAACAGTAAACTGTAAAAAAAAAATTTGAGGAGTATTCAACTAGTGGTCAAGTGCAAAGAAAATAGAGAAGTATTCAACAAATGGTCAACTGCAAAGAAATTTCAAAAAAATATTCAACTGTAACTGTCAACTGTCTGGAAATGAAATAGAGTAGTATTCACCTAACAGCCAACTGCAAAGAAAATAAAGGAATATTCAAGTAATGACCAGCGGCAAAAATATAAAGTAGCAATCAACCGTGGTCACATTTATGCAAATGAGTTGAACTCTCGCTCATTTGCATGACAAAAAGTCACATAATGGTGAATGGATTGTCAATCAATAGTCGAAGAACCTTCAACCGAGTACTCCGATTTCCAGTTTAATTCTAATAGAATTGTTCCCAATGTTTTGCACTGACTTAGAACATGGATTTTACCATTTCATTAAATCAGATCTAGTTAATATCGCTTCAAGAAATTTTTTTTAAAAATCATCATTAATGTTACTATTAGTGTCCTATTCTACGAATAGTAATGTAACAGAGACAATCGTGTGCCTCTGCTGGTGATTGAACACGGGGCCTCTGCCTTACCAGTCCAGTGCTCTTCAAAATGAGCTAAATGGTTAAACCACAAGCCCAAGCTAGTAGGATGCCGTTTATCTTAACACTACCACATTGTCCCCCTCCACAGAATGAGAGTGTCAACACCTGTGGTCCGAAGTTCTAGGTACAATCACTCTCACCCGCCAGAGAACACCCGGATCCCAACGTGGGCGCCAAATGTTAGAGACGATTTTCTGTCTCTGCTGGGGATCGAACCTGGGGCTCTGACTTGCCAGTCCAGTGCTCTACCAATTGATCTAAAAGGTTAACCCACTAGCTCAAGCTAGTAGGATGCCAATTATCTTAACCTTAACACTACTACAGAAACATATACAAATATTAAACAGGTTTGTCAGACTCTGTGGTTTTTTTTATTTTAAGTTTATTGTATATATTGAGTCGACATATATGAATGAAAGTGACTATTTTCAATTTGTCATGTCATCGCCAATATATATTTGAATATCGAACCGAAGACTGCAGCAAGTGTTTTCTTCTTCTAATGTAAAAGCTTTGAAAAAATCCTGCTTCTTATGAATATAAAAAAGGTCTGCTACATGTTTTAAAGCTTGCAATACTTTAAGTTAGTAGGTACCCTCAGTAATTCTGGCAGATTGTTGAAAGACATGATCTCCAAAAAACGGCTTATTGTTAATCAGAAACTCGGGCATCTTTTAAATATCACTTTTAGAGTACTTGTATGTATAGTCAGAAAGTTTTTAAGAAAAAGTTTTGCAAATAGCCAAAGATAAGATGAAAATATTTACGAGTTCCATTTTTATTGAAAAATGAAAAAAAATATGAATTTTGTGGAGATCGCATTCAGTATTCCAGCTCAAAAGTCATTTAAACATTACAAAATAGGAGCAGAGCGAAATACAGACCTCAAAAACATCAGAGGCGGGACCACAGAGTCTGACACATCTGATTCATACTTGGTTATTTTACTCAAAAAGACGTTGATGGTAGTCTTACCACCAAGCTATATGATAAATGTGATGAATTTTACTTTTCTATCGTCAACTTCTCTTACTCGGTTTGCAGCAATATACCTTCACCACCTGCATACATTGTTATATACCTCATTTGATTCGATATGTAAGAGCATGCTCTACGTTTGAAAAATTTCTAAAAAGAGGTAAAATATTGTCAAATAATTTGATAAAATAGGAATATCAGCAGTTTCGTTTAAAGTAATATATGGTCGTTACAATGACCTTGTCAGGAAGTGCTATTTAGAAAATGCTGACTGATGTTTTCATACTAATTGTTAGTCAATTATTTATACACTGAATTGACAACAGATTTTTCCGTTATTTTCCGATCATGACAAGAAGCACACGGCGGGTGAGACCGGTCTTTTTCTAGTCAAATATCTAAATATGAAAGAGATGTGTCAGACTCTGTGGTGTTTTTTATCTCAAGCTCATTAGGATATATTGACAAGAGAGTGGAAATTTCCATTATTAATTGACAATACGTCGTCAATACTAGTATCTAAATATCGAGTTAAAGTCCCCAGCAGGTTTTTTCTTCTTTTCACGCATAAATTCTGCTTCACATGAATATAAAAGTAGGTCTGCTAAGATAGGGGCGCTATATGAACCTATGGGAATTCAAATAGATTTTTGAAAGACATTTTTTAACATCAAAAAACTTTTGTATTCAGTTTGAAATTGTCAATGACAATGAAAAAATGATTCAATTTTTAATAAAAAATTTTTATTGAAAATGCGGCTGTCAATAATATTAAAAAACCCAAAACATTTTATTGTTGGGAAGAGTTGTATATAAAGTTGAAAATACGTAAGTCTACATGTTGTTGATTTTGGTAAAACTTTGTCATTTCAAACGTTCCACTGTTCACGATAGATCAGTTGAAAGAGCGCTCGCTTCGTGATCGGGAAGTCATCAGTTTCGCGACTGACCCAAGTCGCGACTGACCAAAGTCGATAATGTTCCTTCGCAATACGCTCGGCACTTTGAAGTGAAAGATGCGGGTCCTTCCGATGAAACCTTGAAAACAGAGGCCCCGTGTCATGCCAGGCGTTGGCACGATAACGATCCTTCAATGGCCAAGTAAAGGTAAAAATTTAAAGCCCTTCATTGGATATAGTGACGTCT